GTGCGAAAAGGCTGGAGGCAGTGCGTTCTTTCAAAAATGAGGGTTTGACTCATTTTCACCTTATTTCCTCCATGAGAGCCAGTCTTGGAGCGAGTTTGGAGCTCACTATTCGTCATCAATGTCAAGGTAAGTTGTTACCACTCATTACAAGTTAAATACATGATTTAGATACGGATTAAAGTATGAAAATTAGTAGAAATTTGGGATTTTGAGGAAAACCTAAGAATTTGGTATTCTTGGATTTTGACCACGATTTTGGATATGAAATTAAGAGTAAATTATATATTTAAGTTCGTGAGGTTATGGAAAAACTTTATCTTCGAAAAATTTCGGAATCCGGGCACGTGGACCCGAGGGTGATTTTTTTCGACTTTTCGATCGGGGTTAGAAATTGTTATAAATTGGATTATAATGAGTGTTTGAGCATATATTAATGGGTTTGCATAATTATTGGCTAGTTTTGGAGTGTTGTGCATTGATTTGGGTCATCGGAAGGGCTTGAAGCCGGTTATGGAACTTCGAAGTGAAGTGAGTCTCCTTTCTAACCTTGTAAGAGAGAATTAACCTCATAGGTGAAATAATTAAATATGTGCTCCTATTTGTGGGGGCTACGTACGCACGAGGTGACGAGAGTCCGTGCGTAGCTACTATAATGCTTAAGTCCGGGTAGTCTAGGATCCAAAAGCATGTTTACCTGCCGTACTTGTAACTTTATTGTCAACTTAAAATGCTTAAATCATATCGAACTTGCAAATGAATTTCTAAAAAGTTAAACATTATTTTTCTGGACCTTAAAAGAGAAATTGTCATTTCCTTGAGTAATTATTTTCCTGATGAAATCTTGATTGGCTGTTTGAATGTGTGTATCTATGAGTACCTGCATCGCATGTATGATTTGCGAGCGGGATAACTCTTTTATTTATATCTGACCGTGTCGCACGTATGATTCGTGAGCGGGGTAATATATGCATTTATGGTTCGTGCCATTCGACCCTCTGGTAGTGCACATTTTATTATTATGTTGGATCGGATCGTACGATCTCGACATGATTTGCACATGCTTGTATTGCTTGCCTTGGCATTTATAAATAATGATATTGCCTCTCTGGCCTGAGATAAATTGATAAATGATGAAATACAAATTTTGGAAATCTCTTATTATAAAAAAGAATTGTTTACCTGCTTCATGCTTATTGAGTTTGAAATCATTTTATAAAATTCATGCTTCTACACATTTTGGTATTTATTTATTGGACCACTAGTGAGTGTCGAAGTTGACCTCTCGTCACCACTATTAGGTGAGCTGTATCTATCGAGACGACCCACAACCAGCAGCGTATCTTTCATAGTATTGTAATTCTTTTCAGTCCAGTTGTATTCCGGACAATTATCGTATTGTACTTTATTTCCTAGAAATTGCTTATGTACTTGTGACACCGGTTTCTGGGATGACTATGAGATTATTCAATATTTAAGTTTGTTAAAGGCATCATTATTTCTTTAGTGAATTTCATTATTTATTGAGGAAATGTAAGGAAACGAAATGATTTCAACAATACTAAAATGAGAATTTAACTAACTTCTTGGTGTTGGCTTGCCTGACAGTGGTGTTCGGCGTCATCACGACCCGTAATGGATTTTGGGTCGTGACAATTGTCACGAGAGTAAATTATAAATTTAGCCACAAAAGTTGAGCTAGCGTGGCAAATAAATTAATTTTTTTGCTACAACACAAAATCTTGTGGCAACAATATGAAAATAGCTACAAATTTTATTTGTCATGGCAAAATAATAAAATCACTTGCTACAAGTATTTGTGGCAAGAAATTTTTACCATCACAACTATAACATAAAATAAATTCGTGGCAATAAGTATTAGTCATTAGCCACAAATCATATAAGTTTGTAGCTAACTTTTAGCTACGCCACATTTTGCTACGAATGCTATGGAAAAAATGTTGTGGCTAAAGTGTTGAGCCACGTAAATTTTCATATTTAGCTACAATATATTTCGTAGCTATAGATACATTATGTTGTAGTGTGCATCTGCGGCCACGCAGGTGCGGAAATACCCTTGCACATACGAACACTACACACCCTTCACCAGGCCACTTCTGCGCTCCCCTTCCCGCTTTTGCGAGCTAGCACCTGCTCTCAAAACTCCGCAGTTGCGATCACACCGACGATCAAAACTCCACAGGTGCGATCACACCAGACTTGGTGCACTACAATAGTCTATAAATTTCAATCTTGATCCGTACCGAATTCCACCGAGGCCCCCGGGACCTCAACCAAATATACCAACAAGACCTAAAATACGATATGAACTTAGTTGAGTCTTCAAATCATATCAAACAACGCTAAAACCACGAGTTGCGCATCGATTCAAGCCTAATGAACTTTTGAACTTCTAACTTCTACATTCGATACCGAAACTATCAAGTCACGTTCGATTGACCTCAAATTTTGTACACAAGTCACAAATGATACAACGGACCTACTCCAACTCCCGGAACCCCAATTCGAGCCCAGTAACTACAAAGTCAACTCTCAGTCAAACTCCTAAATTTCCAACTTTTGCCATTTCAAGCATAATTCAACTACAGACCTCCAATTACTATTCAGACACGCTCCTAAGTTCAAAATCACCCAACGGAGCATCAGAACCATCAAAACTTCATTCCGGAGTCGTTTATACATAAGTCTGCATCCGGTAAACCTTTTCAACTTAAGCTTCCAACCTTGAGACTAAGTGTCTCAACTACTTCTGAAACCTCCCCGAAATCGAACCAACTACCCCGGCAAGTGACATAGCAACTATTAAGCATAAAATGAGCAGTATGTGGGAGAACGCAACTACAACTCTCAAAACGACCGGCGGGGGTCGTTACATGTGAAGTTTGTGGTCGAAGAGTCAACAAAAGGACGGAGTCGAAGAGTCAACAAAAGGACGGAGCCGAAGAGTCAACAAGGGTTGGGGTCGAGGTCGAGTGCCTTAGACGGAGCAATAACGACTAGTTTCAAGATATGATTTGACAGAGAATATTCTAGTGGATATTCTCTGTGCTTATTAGGTTTTGTTGGAAGTATGTTCCCTATAAATAGAAAAAGATTCTATGATAGGGGACATATAATATTCATTTGTAAAGCAAACACACTTTGACTGAAGAAAGAAAACGAATCTCTTTACTAGTAAACAAACATCACCTTTCCACTGAGATTCTTGTATATGCTTTTCCACCAACGAGAATAACTCAGATATTCAAGAGATTATTTACCATTCATCATTGTGAGAAGGAATATCCACTTATTCCATCCTTTCTTGGGTGACACGTTCATTCTATTTACTTAAATGTCATTTATTGCTTTTTGTTGTTATTAAATGCTATATTGTTATTTCTGATATTTGGAAACTTAATACATACCACTGTCACTTTCGACCTTACTTGCGTAGTATTTATTGCTTCTTTAAGAATCCCATCTAAGGATATTATTGTTAGCTAAGATTAACCCTTATTTACATCAATTTAATTATTTGAAAGAAGATTTATACTTTTTGGTCAAATACTATTAACTGGGTTCTAAATTCAATATTTGCATATATTTAATGATTTTTTTAATACAAATATATTATTTGAGTAAAAATTATTGGGTTTAACCGAACTCGTACTCAGACTTCTAGCTCCGCGTGCGAGCATGTACAATGTGAGTAAGGTTTCTCTATTCGAAGTGATCACGGCTGACTTATTACTATAAACATAGTCTAATTCTGATATTCATGATACTATTCCTGCTAATGGGATTCTCTTTCGCAGTATTTCTTCTCATTATAAACGTCATTATTCTCTGTATAAAGTCAATTATGCTGCTTGTATTGTTTTATTACTGTAGTTTACAATAAAAGACATTTTTTAAACTACAATAACAGACATTCAGCAATAGATTTTTAGCTAATACAAGTATTACCTAGAGCAAAGTAGAACTTCTATCTACCTTTATAACAATTGGACCAAAACCACAAAATCGATTCAATTGAAGGTAAAATAAAATTAGGTGAACATAGGAATTGAAACTGTAGTAAATGAAAAATTCAGGGCTTCAAAGTGCTAATTTTAATTTCTTAATTTTTTCATTATTAATGCTCAAGCCTCAAGTTTTCTTTGAATTTATACTATTGAGTCATGTACCTCAACATAATGGACCAAGACGATAATCTAGAAGTAGATATAAGATATTTTAACATTTGGATAAAAAAACGCTTATCTCTTATTTCACTGTTCGGGAAAAGCTAGAGGGCGTTCAGATCTAGTAGACTAGTAGCCTTGCCGCAAAATCTTAAACCAAATGTGTGTTTTTTTTCTTTTGTCTTTTTTAGCATGGGAAATAAATATCTGGTAGTTGAATGTGCAACTACTTGCACAGTTACACTTACTCCCAATAATTGTAATTGCCATATTTGTAGTTTGGTTTGGCACCGGCAATTATTAGGATTAGTTTGTTCTTAACACTGGGAGATTGAAAAAAAAACACCAAATAACTTTGACTGGCAGAGATATTTTCTTGGTAGTTAGACTATTTATTATGCTTTTGTTTCTCTAAATCCCACCATCTTTTACGTTTGTTGTCTGATTTACTTGATACACTTACCCTCCAAACTCAATGGATAAATAATATTAAGTGCTAGGTAATTTTGGGGGTTGTAAATCCATATGCAATTTTAAGAAATACAAATTTTCCAAAACTTAGGGAAGATCATGAGTTATTTTTAAAATCCCCGTGAGATATTGAGGAGATCCCTATTTAGATTTGTTGTTTTGAAGGAAAAAAAAAACCCGAAAAAGTGGACAAATAATTAAAATTTTCCTGCCCAAGTATTTGAATCCAAAATGAATCGAGAAAGTACAAGTTTTCTTACTTATAAAACAAGACAAGATATTCCAAAATTGTCATAAACAAGAAGGTTATGTAGAGAAAATTTGTGCATACCTATGCTTTATTTAGGTTAACGTCCTTAACAAAAATAGGCTACAATGTGCAAGATCCAACAAAAGACTGGTCAAACAAAAGTTGGTACAATATGTTTCACATTTCACAGGTTTTAACTGACTTTTAACTTGCAAAATACGGCGTTTGAAAGATACAGTCTGTGGAAAAGTAGATACAAGAAACAAGAAAGTGTCAAACAGCGATTTAATCAAAGTTTACATCTCGGGCTGTTCAACGCCTAAGCTGTGCTTTTTGTCCTCCTTTTTTGCAATTTTAATCTTGATTGTTTTCTGTGTTCATAGTAATCAGATTTTGTTGTGTTAAGAGTGTAATTAATTTTTATTTTCTTAAGGAGTCATTAGGAGCTAAAGGTTTTTGAATTTTTCAGACGTGTTGACGTCAGGTTTTTTGATCCAAATGTCTTTAATGTCAACAATAACTACAGTCTTACCCTATTTTTTGATTTGATTTATTCTTCTTCTTCTTCTTTTATACTCCGAAATTTACAAAATCTGAGTTTTTTTTACTCTGGCTTCTGTCTTCAAACTTCCAATTTGGGACGCGTTTCTGATTCTCTGTCGCCGGTGTTTGGTTTCAATTTTTTTTTTTTTGGGTTTGACCGTCACATGAGTGGACTTTGACTGGCCGTGATCGGACTTTTGATTGTCGCCGATGGGGCACTGCTGCAGTAAGGGTGTTACCGCCGATAATGACGGTCACGTCGTCTCCGTTGTTGACGGAAACTCATCCGTCTCCACAAACAACCGCCCCAAACCATCACCGTCACCGGCACGTCCACAGTCCGTCGGGAACGGGACGAGTTACACTAACAACAACACGCCAGCTCACTCATTTACAACCAGTCCTTTTCAGAGCCCATACCCTGCCGGAATACCTCCCTCCCCGTCTCCGGTCGGAACGCCGAGAAGGAAATTCAAGTGGCCATTTCCACCGCCGTCGCCGGCGAAGCCTATATTATCGGCGATCCTTAAGCGGCAGGGAACGACGTCAGCAAAGCCAAAAGAAGGGCCAATACCGGAAGATGAAGGTGGTGAAGGTGAGAGACAGCTGGATAAAAGCTTTGGTTATCCAAAGAACTTGACGGCAAAGTATGAGCTTGGAAAGGAAGTAGGTCGAGGGCATTTTGGACATACTTGTTGGGCTAAAGGTAAAAAAGGCGAACTTAAAAATCAACCGGTCGCTGTGAAGATCATTTCAAAAGCTAAGGTGCGTGGTATGTGTTTTTGCATTTTGCTAGTATTATTTTTCTCAAAGCTATATACTTCAGATTAAATCCATTGGATCACGGTTTAAGATTATATCTAGGCGAAGGTGAAGGTAATGTAGGCGAAATCCTCTATAGTTTGGGAAATTTTGTCCTATATTGTAATAAAACCAGCCATTGTGAATCAGTGGCTTTCCCCATGAGATGATAGAGTCCTTTGTTGTGGAGAAAAGTGAATGTCTATGATGTTGTGTATACATATATGTTAGTAGAATTCTAGTAATATGAAACTTTCAAGCCAGTGTGACCTATAAGACTAGCTTAGTAATGGTGTAAGGGCAATTAATAGAAATTTAGAAGCTATAGCTGTTCTTAACAATGATTGGTGATTTGCTGCGCCTAATGCATATGTGATTTTGAACTCTCCCTTGGTGTTAAAACTAGTGTGCCAGACTTGATGACATACTAAGACATAATCAGGGCCCCATTTATTTTGTCAATATTGATGTTCCATTTAGTCATTGACTATCTACGAAATCCCATAAGCAGAGACATTGAGACTAAGTAGTTGGATACTTTGAGATCACATTCATAAGCAAATGTAAATTTTGGTGACCCTAAACACTTTGAACTGTGATGCTTTGACCTTTGTTATGGTCTGAGAGATTGCAACTGAAATATTTGCCACCCCCTTCTTTCTGAAGTGAGATTTCCTTTATGTCACGTGGGCACTATCTTTTCTAGCAATGACATGGTTCATAGTAGATGTTAAGTTTGACTTCCGAAGTGGGGGTTGTTGACTGGATGAATATGTTTGACAGATGACAACAGCTATATCTATTGAAGATGTTCGCAGGGAGGTGAAGATATTGAAGGCCTTGTCTGGACATCAGAATCTTGTCAAGTTTTATGATGCCTTTGAGGATGCCAACAATGTCTACATAGTAATGGAGTACGTGACTATGTGTTCCCTTCGCTCTAATTTCATCTTACTTCCCATATTCTAGTTTGACTAGAGATGCTTTCAATAAATGTCAGAAACCATTTCTTATACACAAATTTTGTGCAATAATGATAATATAGCTCTCTATTTTACCAAGAACCTTTATTTCCGAAGTCTTTCCATTTGATAGGCTCCAGTTTATCGGTATAAATTGTTAAATGGCTTTAAGATAATTCTATTGCGTCGGTACACTTTTATTAGGTATAATGCTTGGCAGAAATATTTTTAGTTTGTCAAAGATTTGTATGTCAATGTAAGAAGTGTGACATTTAGTTAATTTCTAATGTTAGGGAACGTCAGATTTGTTTAAAAGACATATAATCGAGTATTGGAATGAAATGGGACCTGATGGGGTGGAATGGATATTGAGGATTCATAGGTTATGAGTGAGGTGTGGTTATTTTTGTTGCTTTAACATAACTCTGAATTGAGTTGTCATTTTTTTCCCACTTCTTTGTTCTTAATAGGTTATGTGAAGGAGGGGAACTATTGGACAGGATTCTATCAAGGTAATTTGCGATATTTGCCTGTGAATCGTAATATAAATGGTTAAATTTAAAATGACTTTTCTCTTTTCCTTCTTCAGAGGTGGGAGATACACAGAGGAGGATGCCAAAAGTATACTGGTTCAAATACTAAATGTTGTCGCCTTTTGTCATCTTCAAGGTGTGGTCCACCGTGATCTGAAGCCAGAGGTACTACGTAAAGCAACCCTTAATAAAACATGCACAAATGTGAATCACATTTCTGGAAATTTTCTCCTCTTATTCCGCTGATCTAACTGGCAGTGTAACTTGATTTCTTTGTAGAACTTCCTTTTTACGAAGAAAGAAGAGGATGCACCAATGAAGGTTATTGATTTTGGTCTATCAGACTTCATCAGACCAGGTAATGATTGCGTTTGTTTTGGAAAAAAACATGTAAGTTTTCTTTTTTGTGTTGGTGGTGGTGATTTATCAGCTCCACAATCATTTAATGACCATAGATGCCATGGGTTTTAACTTTTTACTCCCCGTCCCACTTTGCTATTGAAGTTTATGAGGAGATGCAGCCTACTGCCTACCATATGTCGAAAGATCTTTGTTAGGATGCTCCGCATTTTTGAAAAGAATCATGTTAAGTCCCATATTGGTTGAGGGAATGAGTTGTGGTCTCTTATATGGTCTTAGACAATCCTACCCTTATGAGCTAGCTTTTGGGGTTGAGTTAGGCCCATGTTATTTTTCTTCACATAGTATTAGAACCATGCCCATCGATCTTTGTTGTTGTGTTCTCAATGTTGGGTCTTCGTGTTATGTTACCCGCGCTCCATTATCCATTCTTGGGTGATTTGGGGNAATTTGTAGGTAAAACATAATAAATTGGTATTTGAATTATAAAAACACTGCAAAAATTAATAAGTAGTGAGCTAATCATAATTAGGAAAGAAATTTTTACTTAAATGCAAGGAAATTTTCATAGTCGGAACTGGTTCTTTCTTTGAGAGATATCAAGTAAAACTGTTTAAACTTCTCAATTTTAATAGGCAAAGAATCACTTTTGTATAATCTTAGGTGGTAGTGTCTGTTTGTGGAGTTCTCATAATCAATTCATAATTCCACATTTTACATAAAGCACGTAGATCGTTAAGATAAGACCTCAGCTTAGATGGCGTCATCAAAAGAAGACCTCAGCTTAGATGTAACCTTCATTTACAGTTTTGGCTCAAGAAAAGATAGCTTAGTGGGATGTAAGACTTTCAGCAGCTTGAAAGTCAAGCTGAGATTTTCGTTTTCCCTGTCCCAAGACGAGTCCCAAAACCGTAATTCAAAACACTGGTTGTATAAAATATTGGATATCTAGGAATCAAAAGTGGTAGAGTTGCTACCTCTCTTTTCAGCAGATGCTCAGTTACTATGTAAATGGAAATATCAGCATGATTCTCTTTTTTATGATGAGGTTTTATCACCGTGGACAACAAGTCAGCTGCTTACTATATCATATTTAGGCAATGTCGAGATAAGTGGATAAGCGTGATATGAGAAGTTCCTCTGTTATAATGCATTTAACTTTTCAGTTTTATCACATATCACAGTTCCCAATCGTTCTTTGCTAAGCCACGTGAAATGCTCCTTCATCTATAAAGATGTGAAATAATTTATTCCATGGATTCATTTTCATTGATTCTCCTGATCCATTTTTCTAATATTTCCTGAATGTCATCATAGCTGTGTTTTCTTTTGTCTTTTTCTTTCTTTCAATTTCTTTCTTTCTAATCTACCTTTAAGATTCAAACCAATCAATTCTTCTGCATTTGCAGATCAACGTCTTAATGATATTGTTGGCAGTGCATACTATGTTGCACCTGAAGTACTTCATAGGTCATACAGTATTGAAGCAGATATGTGGAGTATTGGTGTGATAACGTATATCTTATTGTGTGGAAGTAGACCTTTCTGGGCACGTACAGAGTCAGGCATTTTTCGATCCGTGTTACGAGCTGATCCTAATTTTGAGGACTCACCTTGGCCTTCAGTGTCTGCAGAGGCCAGAGATTTTGTGAAAAGGCTTTTGAATAAAGACCATAGGAAGAGAATGACCGCTTCTCAAGCATTGGGTAAGTTGTTATGTGTTCAATGTATCAAATGATTTTGTGACTGGTAGATACTCTGCGCCTAGAGTCTGGGTTTTTCTTGGCATATATTCTCCTGAAGGGCTGGAGTAGTAGTGGCAGTAGGCGTGTCAGGTGCCTGGACTTCGGCTGGATCTGCTGGTGGTACCTTGGCGGCAACATCTACAAATTATACTGTATGCATTTTTCACCCTGTGCATCTGATGGCCTCCTTTTGCATTTGCAGCTCATCCATGGTTAAGGACGGAAAATCCTGTTTTACCTTTAGACATATTGATCTTTAAATTAGTCAAGTCTTATACTCGAGCCTCACCCTTGAAACGTGCAGCATTGAAGGTACTAGCGGTTTTAAATGCTTCTTGGAGAATTCTTTTGAAGTCTGTTTCTGTAGGAGCATAAGCCATTTCAATCTATTTTGGTTTTCTGATGTGCAGGCTCTTTCAAAAGCATTGACAGAAGAAGAGTTAATCTACCTCAGGGCTCAATTCAATTTATTGGAACCGAAAGATGGTCGTGTGTCACTCAACAATTTTAAGATGGTTGGTGGTCTTACTGTATCATTTTTTAAATTAAAATATACAGTTATTAGCATATTCTGTTTGACCCATCGTCATCTTCCGTCTATTATCTAATTCCTAAGTACATCATCATGAACTGGCTGTGCAGGCACTTACTAAACAAATGACTGATGCCATGAGGGAGTCAAGAGTTTTTGACATCTTAAATTTGGTGAGACACCTGATGTTATTATAGTATGTTATCCTTCTTTGCGCTTGGAATCTCTTTGGCTTCTATCATTTATCTATTGGTACATGCATTGAGTTACATTCGAGATATCAACTCAAGTTCTTAAGTGATATACATTGGGTTCTTGAGTCGGTCATATGTGCACACACACTCAGCACAAGCTCATCACTTAATGCACTTGTCAAAGATAACCTGGGAGAGAGAGCATAGAAGATAACATATTTCATGCATGTCCTTTTTCCCTTCCTGAATTAGGGACTCTTCAACGAAGAAGGCAATCCTCTTCCGCATTTCTAAATCTAAAAATATTGGGATCTTTCTACTTTGTCTCCTATATATTGTTTAGTTCCGTTAATTTTTTCTTGCAAAATGAAATAGTATCAGAAAGTGAATAAAATGAAGTAAGAAAGTGTTTTTTCCCTTTTGGCATGTGGGACTTATGGAGTTGCCACATGAAAAGATAAGTGCTATCAGTTTGTTGCTTCCTGAATGCATGTGAAATTTCTTCTTACTAGATTATAGATACAAGGCAGAGAACTGGCACATTGTAATATTGTACTTTTATGGTTGAGCTTGACATCTTATTGCTCCCACAATTTTGAACAAGCGTTTTTTTTTTTGTTAAATTGAAGATGGTTCTTACTAGATTACAGGTACAAGGCAGAGAACTCGCGTCTTGTACTTTTGCGTTTGAGCTTCACATCTTATTGCTCCCACAATTTTGACCCGATGTTTTTGTTTGTTAAATTAAAGATGGAACCATTATCCTATAAACCACTGGATTTTGAAGAGTTCTGTGCTGCCGCAATTAGTACATATCAGCTTGAGGCTCTTGAAAATTGGGAACAAATTGCTAGTGCCGCTTTTGAGCATTTTGAGCAAGAAGGAAACCGTGTCATTTCCGTTGAGGAATTAGCACAGGTAGGCCAAGGGTACTGGCAGTGACGTTGTATTTTGGTTCATCTTGCTATTCTAATGTGGTATCTGTGTTTGCAGGAAATGAATTTGGGCCCAACTGCTTATGCTTTTCTCAAGGATTGTATCAGACCATCTGATAGAAAACTAAGTTTCCTTGGGTATACCAAATATTTGCATGGTGTGACTATTCGTGGTTCAAGCACAAGACATCATCGATAACATGGCTGATTGGAGCACACAAGTTGCTCCAAAGGAGAACAAGAGAGTACATTTCTATTCTTTCCTTCTTTTTTCTTGTGCAGAAACAGAAAGTGTTAAACTATCTGTTGTCAAAGATATTTCGATTCATGTTGTGAGGATACGATCCTTATTCTTTAGAATTAGTGATTTGGGTTTTGTATCGTTGTAATAGATTTTATGTTTTTTGGGGGGAAGAAAACTTCAGGAGAGCGAAACATGCTGATTGTCATTCTGAAGCTTAAAAAGTTAATTCCTCTGCAATTTACTACGTAGCAGTCCTATTATTTTGGCTTAGCACATTCCGTTAGTGGTAATTTGCAAATACTGGTTGAAGGTTGTTTGGATGGAGGTAACGCCTTTTTTCATGTTTTCCCAAGTATGTCATGCCGGTAGTTATGAAAGCAACAAGCAAAACTGGAATGGTCCATTAGGGGCCGAAATGTACAAGTCATTGACCGGGTTGATTTGTCACCAACTAATCTTAGTGTTTTCCATCACGTTTATCATCAAAACAGTAATTTAATTGTGCCTCAATAATTCACCACTGGAAAGTAGGGGGGTACATATGTCAGGTTGGTTCGGGTTTTTCAATTACCAAACTAAATCAATTGTCTCGGATTTTTAAATCTATAAATCAAACCAAACCAACAAGAGTCTTGTTTTTTAATCTCTGGTTTTCTCGGGTTTTTGGGATTTTTTCCGATAAAATCTTTATAGCATAAAATATATAATGTGTGCTCTAGTATTTCTTAGGTCCTAGTAGGATAAGACTGTATAAGATGTTTTCCAAGAAAATAATACAAAATAATGTGAGATAGTCATGATTATAATAAAATACTCAACAAGTCGCATAAAATAAATATTGCTAATTAATAAGCCATAATGAAAATAAACATAATCTAAAATTATTAAGTCATGCTAAAATAAGTATTAAGTATTAATTACGTGACTAAATAATGATAAAAATAAGTTATGCATTTTCACTATCTAAACCAATGCAAAACTAAAAGAATAAATATACAATACTATTGTCGTTCTACTTCCTAGTACTGATTGATTTTTTTTGTTAGCATTCATATTAATTTGATTTTGCTTTGGCCTTTATTTGAGTTATTAACTTTTATGGGCTATAAAATATATTTGGCCATTCAAAAATTCTAAGTTCTATTTGAAATAGGAATTTTTACATCCTATAGCAAATGTTAACACATTATTTATTTTAAATAAATACCATTTAAAAAATTATATTCTATAGATACCTTTTACTGTTTATAACAAAATATCTAATTTTGGTATACCTCCTACTCCTAAGCCACTAAATACATTATTCAGTTACACTATTTTCTTTATGTTTGTGGTTAGATTCCTTTTCACCATTATTAACCACCGAGTTCGAAGCAACCTCACATCTAGGGCTCAAAGAATGCGATTTCATCGGATAAACCACCGGCTTAATTCTCCGACCGTTCCGAATAATCTGACTTGACGACGAAAACAACCCACAGAAGGAGAAAAAGACAAAGAACAAGACGTAGAACTTAAATTATCACAATGAAAGCTGTCACCTACAAAAGAGGTCACTAAGCCACTCGCTACCGCCATTGAAACACAATTTTGAGAAACAATACCGGCTATAGCGAGAGAACTCCGAAACACATATTTGATATTGAGATTCGGAGCAGGTGACAAATACATCTGACGTTGTTGTTGCATATAGGAGTAGGAGTAGCTGGAAATTAGGGTTTGTTTTTTAACAAAAACGACGGATTTTGGGCTGAGCAACTTCATTTTATGTTAATATAGTTTAATGTATTTTCAACGTATCACGCTATATTTTTATGTATTTCATTGTCTTTTTTTTATTGTAATTCAATATATCTCGTTGTATTTACTATCTCTCTATATGCCATGAATGTATTCATATGTTTTTTTAATTAATATAATTTATGTATTCAGATGTATTATATAATTTCCTGAAGAATGCTATGTTTTTGGGGTATTTTTCGGTTGAGAATCTTTTTTATAACTGAAAATACAAAATTTGTGTGTTATAATTGAGTTTGTTGAGTTATATTAGGAGTCTATTATGTTAATTGATTCAGTGTAATCCCCTATTTCACGCCGTGAATACAGTCGAATACAATAATCTATCCAGTTGTAATCTCATGTTTCACTCCATGAATACAGTCGAATACACTCTAATACAACAACTGATTAGCTGGACTTCCCCGATTCATACCTATTTTTGATACTGTATTCATTAATAAAATAGCTTAAATACATCAAATACATCTTATAACCACAGAAAAGGTATCTATAATCCGTAATATAGTAAATGATATCTATAAATGACTAATTACTACTAAAAGATAGTGCTTTATGAAAATTTCTCTTTGAAATAATACATTAAAAGAGAGAATTATGAAATAGTTTAAATTTATAAATTACATTACAATAATTATTTTTATGTATAAAATATTTTAAAACATTTAAGTTTGAGTCAATCTGCTCCAAATTTATCGAGATATACGTAATTTGACCCAGATAAAAGAAGATTCTCATACTCCTAGTCTAGCTATTATGGTATGGGTGAAATTTTACTTCCTTCTTTAGAGGCTTATTTTACAATCTTCTAAACTGGAAAAAAGGAAAGAAAGTGTGAGGAGTTATGCAGTGAGAGTCAGGATTTTCTTTGAATCTGCCAAACAAGTCACGAAGTGTATGCATGTGTTATATATTCGTAAGGTGCAGGTGGCTAAGGAAAACAACATTTGAATTTCCAAAAGCAACCACTACGAAACTAACAATTGACAATATATCTGTAGAAGTGTAGCTATTTTTATTTTTTTACGATATATCTGTAGTTCATTCTCGGATAAACTCCCAACTACTTGAAGAAGTAATGTATGAGATTATGGGAATCTTAGAAAGTCTTTTTAAGTAGTGTTCTTATTTAAATCAAGACTGTTACGCTAACGCTTTTGATTGTTATTTTTGGAGCTTATTACGTCGTTATTGTTGATCTATATATCATTTAGGGTACAATAGAAGTATGTTAAAAATAGATTTGAACACACGACCTTTATCTCTATTCTTTTATTCTGTTTCACATCAACCTTCTATGGGTTCTTTTCTATGGTACAATCGTTCTGCGCATGAAAGTAAAATTCCTTTTGTTTTTTTCCGGTTTAACCATAGTATTCGAACTCCAGTGATCTGACCAATCTTTTATCACTAACAGCTTGTTTGGATGGTTGTTACCCATTGTATCGTATCGTATTGTTATTTTAAATATAATGTTTGTTTTGATTGTTACTTAAATTTTATTGTATCGTATCATTAAATCCGTGGTTACATAATGACGAAATGTGCCACTTTATGTAATGACCGATTTGGTGTGGTCGCGTTGTTACCTTGTTTTTTTCTCTCAATCTCACCCTTTATTATTATTAAATTATTTTATTTTATCATTTATCCTACCTTTTTATATAGTAATTTTACCTTGTATCATATTTTTTCTTTATAATATTGCAAGTTTATTCTTCATATTGCTGGTGTGTGATATCATGAAACGATGACAAACGACACAATCTATCCAAATATTGTATTCATCAAACGATACAGTACAATACAATACAGTACGATACGATACATTATGAAATGATGCGTAACAACCATCCAAATAAGCTGTAAGTAGACCCACTACGGAGGTAAAATACTTCCTACTAAAGTTTTTGATTCCTTGTTCGAATTTGAACCTTTTTATTAAGGGTGAAAGAATCTCAACTATCCAACTACATTCTTCAGTGGGCGCAAGAAGGTTAAGACTTTAATGCGCACGCAAGTGTACACAAAAGAGGATTTGATTATCGATTCTTGTCACGCTGACCATGAAATTTTGAAGGAAAAATGAAACTAAAAACAAAAAATTGGAGAAACGAAAACAACACGTATTATAAGCGCCTAGTTTCAGAAAATAATCCGGAAAACAAAATACAACCAAACCGTTGTTTCCAGAAGTTATTCATGTAACGGACACAAAACTAAGGAGTCCGGAACCTAAATATTGTATGTTTGGATTCAAAACACACAAATAAATCTATTAAAAAAAATGACATTTATATATATAGTGTGCAACAACAACACGCTATATATTAACGGTAACGTCTGCCGTTAAGTATAGCGTCTTGTTGTTACACGTTATATGTATAGCGCACAAACAGAAAACGATGACCTCTGATTTTGGCCCCACCAACTGACAATCACAATTATTTCAATGTATAGCGTGTGTTTAGAAAACGCTATATACCTCCCGGACTAGCCATTTCCTATATAAAGTGGTCAGAGTATTTGGAAAAATCGTTCACATACAATTCTAATTCTCTTCAATATTTTCTTATTATTAAACTCCGAAACATTTTTTTCGCAATGTCAGAAGAGCGTAGAATAAGAGTTTCATTATATTGGGGTGAGGGGTGAGGTTGTGACGGAGAATAACTCTGTGAGGTATAGTTTATCTCCACAGGGTCATGTTAAATTACCACTTACACTAGAGTATGATAAATTGATATCGTTGTTATGCAAAAAAATGGGAAAGAGGAAACGTTCAGTGATACTTAAAGTAACTGGAAGATATATGTATTCCGTCACTCCGCAAGGGGCTGGTTTTTACTCGAAGTTAAACATCTACGATGATGAAACTTTGAGGGATTTTCTGAGGACTCAGGATGAATACCGGGAATATCTTGTAATAAATATGTTGGATATGTACGTCAAGGTCGAAGATGTTTCAAACAATGAGGTGATCGGATATGTTCCGGATAACCTCCAGTCATCGGTTGGCTATTCTGAAGGAGTTTTTGCCGGACATGTTCCTGTTGAAAGAGTTTTCCTTGCAAGACGAGTGGTAAGCTTCAATTTTGCTTTGTGGTACGATGTATAATTTTGTTGTATTCAATTTGTATTAACACTCATATATTTAACAGGGGGTACATGCCGGATATGCGTTTTATAAATAATGAACCCGAGCATAGTTTTGGTGTGTTGGATCAAAGTGGTCCATCCGGGAGCTATCACCTACATGAAAATGTCCATCATGGAATTTTATCACATTACGACTTGTAAGTGAAGTGATACGACTACTTGAAATGTATTTTGTAAATTTAGCATCTTATTAATTTATTGATTGTGCAGTAAAAACAAGCAAGTTGAAGCAAATGTACTCACTCAATTGCCCGAAGACGACGTATTAAATCGGGATCTGGCAGACGCACAGAGTGAGGAA